ACCACAATTTCGCGCAGTCAGAGTCAGTGAAATTAATTAAATTCTCAGAATTTACTTTTGATTTTCCAAAAATAAAAGTAAATTAATGGCGACATGTGAAATCTGCTTATGAGAATGAGCTAACAGGGAATTGAAAGCGAACAGCGTTCAGATTACACTCTCTGAAATAAATACGTAGACAAACTGAACGAGATCTCGATTGCTGTTATGGCGTAAACGGCACGCGGTAGATTGTCTTTGATTGCCTCTCTACTTCTTTGCCATTACTAAGGTGTCAATTTGTAAAAGAAGTCGAGCGGAACGCGGCAGAGTTGTTTTTTTGATTAAATACAATCGAAATGTACTCGTAAGCGAATAAAAATAGAAACGACACAAATATTTTTCATTCGCGCAATCGCGTCGTGTGTTGTGTCAATGACTGCGACAATTTTTTAGTAATGTTTTTTATTTTATTTCAGTTCAATTGACGTATGCTTTTGGTTGGATTCTCCTCTTGTGGCAATTGTTACTTACTATTAAGGGTTATTCCCACTTATCGACTTTTTGTCTTTAATTTGTTTTGGTGGAGATTTTGTTCTTATTGCCGGACGTAAACACAAAGTGTGCCCGATTTTGAGAACAGACAAATCACATGACCTAATCGATCAATTGACTGACCATTTCACAGATAGTGTATCCGAATTAAATTATGGCCAATAACTCAGTTTGTCTCATTCCCCTGCCGGCTGGAACAGTTTAGCAAAAAAAGTATGCCTAGGCTTTATGCCTATCGTGCACACCTCACAGTTGTATTTTTCTGGATTCTAGAGAGCCTGGAGTCCAATAGTGTATCTGATTTCTTAGCTATCTCTATAGGTTTCGAGCACTTTTTACATTGACCTTTCCTTATTCAATAATAAGAATCAAAGCTAAGCCGAAATTAGTAATTTTTCTTCTTTCTTAAAATTCTGTCAACTTATGGCCAGCATTCTGTCGCTACGTAAAATAAATCATTTTAGCGTAAAATAGAAAGTATCTTTGGTTTACGACCTCACCCAAAGGTATTTCAATTTAGTAACCTAGTTACCAGATAGAAATAGATTACCCATAGATTCAAATTAAACTGAGATAAATACTTTACAAGGAGATACAAAATCTCTGATGTTTCTCTCCTCTCGTAGAGAGGCTGTACTCTTCAACCGGTGGACATGGTGATTGATAGAAGCTCTCATGACAGCCAAACATCGATTAAGAGAGACAATGTTCTTCTTTTAGATCTGTAGAAGGGCAATTGTGAAGAGTTAGAGCCTCTCAACACAAGTGGTGTTTTGGTTTTGGCTGTATGAAACCGTGGTTACGCTAGAAACGTAACCGAAACAGGCCAATGCCTTTCAAGCGCAGGTTTCTGCCATTAAGATAGCAGCAAATGTATTACTCCGAAGTATAGTTTCTTCATTCTCCAGGCTCCGATAGCCCAACGGTTTAGAGCTTGCTAGACTTGTATATTGGTGCACTGTCACAGTGAAATTTTCGGTCACTGTAAAGCCGATGAGTTTGATAAGGAGTAAAACTTTCGACCAATTTCATCCGATTGGAAGCGAGTGGGTATTCCGATGTCCTTTTGCCTTTGGACCTATGGACGCCCAGTGAGCTCAACGAGCGCTGGTCACCGCGACTGCAAGTTTCTTCTTACCCACAGTTAACCGTAAGAAGTCCTTCGAACTAAAAACACTTAGCAAATTTAATCTTATCTCAATTGTAGGTGTTCTGACTGGACACAATTTAAAAGGTTCACACGCGGTGCGGCTAAGTACTCTTTTTGCCAAAGCATTGTGGAGGAGGCCAGGTGGAATAATTTTGTGGCTTTCTCGTCTATTGCTTGGCTTCTACTAAAATGAGAAATGAGCGAAACTAGCACAGTGGCTGCGATTGATATTAATCGCCTTGATAAATTTGTGGTAAGCTCAGAACCCTTCCTCGATCTTTGAGAATATGCTACACATTTTCGAGTGTTTTTGGGTAACGCAAAATTATAATAAATGTCCAAGTGAGATTCATAGAACCTAACCTAAGTGGCTTTGGATCTCCTAATATCTAAATATGGTAATTTTTTTTTAATTTGGCATTTTAATTTTCCAAAAGAAAAAACATTTCTGATTTTCCTTCATTAAATCTAATTTAAACAAAAATTTTATATTTTCCATAGCTCAGATTTTGATTCTGATTATGACCCTAGTAATCAATAACAATGTAGTACAGTATATATACTATGTTTGTATTTCAAAGAAGACTTTTATAAATTTGACTGAATTTGGTTTAAAAATTTAATCCCTCCGATTAATTTTTAATTTTCGACCTACTTATCCAAGTTGAAATCAATTTCAAGATTAAAATGTATGAAAAATAAAAAACTTTTTATGCGGATGCGATTTTTATTATGTATGCAAGAAATAAACAAAATAATCCAAAAAATTGTTGATAATTCCTTACCCGAAGCGAATGATTAATCCGGTACAGGTTTTTGCACTATTTTTTATTATTTCAGTTTTTATATTGTATGTTGGTGGTCTCGCAGTTGACAGCATGAGAACGACGGTTTGATAGTGAACATTAGGGTGGTACTTAAAAAAATCCAAGAATGATTTTTGCAGAAACACAAGTTCAATTTCTACTTTAGCCGAAGATAACAGACAATTCGATCTCCAAACTCCTTGGGGGTGACAGCTAGTCATTTTTAATAAAATTTGCACAAAAAAATAAAAAAATAAAAAATAAAATTAAGTAAAACAGTAAATAAGATAAAGCATTTTTCATTTTTTTTATGCTATTCAGTTAATTATAATTTTAATTTTTTAACGATAATCTGTGGTTTGACCCTATGCAATACGCCTTAACCAGCTTTACTTGAAGTATAAGAGAAGTTACGGGTAACAGATACATAAGTTTTCTGTCAACATTTGAATACAACCCTAATGTGTTGATATATACACTTATTCAAAAATTACGAAAAAACTTAAAAACTTTGCTTCGGTTTATGAGCCATATATGCTGAAGTGGAAAGACAGCTCTTAAGAAAAAAAGTAGAAAAAATGTCATAAATATTTAGTGTTAATAGCACCACAACTTTTTTTTTTAAATAAAACAAAGGCGAAAGTAGTTTAAGAAGATTATGCAAGATGTGCTTACAAAATTCTGAAAATAAGCTAATGAGCTGGCACGTGGTGAGTTGGCTTCAAATTTTCGGCCAAAGTGGTTACGCTAAAAAGCAAGTCATAAATAAAATAGATTATAAAAATAAACAATTTTAATATAGAA